TAGGAAAATATGGAACAATAAGATCTGTAATATATGATGGAGCTAGGATGTTGAGAGCTTTGTAGGTTAGAAGTAAGATTTTTAATTAAATTCTGGATTTGACAGGGAGCCAGTGGAGAGAAGCTAAAACTGGGGAGATATGATCTCTCCTACTAACTCCAGTTAAGACTCTGGCAGCAGCATTTTGGATCAACTGAAGACGTTTTAAAGAAGTATTTGGACACCCAGATAAGAAACCGTTGCAGTAGTCCAGTCTAGACGTGACAACTGTATGAACCAGTTTTTCTGCATCATTTTTAGATAAGATGTTTCTAATTTTAACAATGTTACGCAGGTGGAAGAAGGCGGTTCTAGTAACGTTTTTAATGTGGGCGATAAAAGACATGTCCTGAGCAAAAATAACACCAAGATTAAATGCACTGGTATATATTTCCATTTACCAGAAAGGTAACGTAATTGGTTGACATAAATAAACACAAATTTAACAATGAGCTCCACCATCTGGGGGCTGCTCCTCTGCATCAAAAGGATTCAGTTGAGGTGGTTCAGGTCTCCTTGATGCCTCCCTTTGGACGTTTTCCAGACATATCCCATTGAGAAGAGACCCCAAACTCACAGGAGGGATTTTATATCTTCTCTGGTCTGGAAACACCTTGACAGCTGGTGAGAGGGAGGTCTAGGTTAGTCTCCTGGACCCGTTGCCTCCACAGCTTGACCACGAGTAAGAGTTTGAAGATGGAGACCTTGCAACTCATGTTTCAAAGCGATATACATCATAGATAATCATAAAAAGATTTAAAATTAAAGCATTAAAAACCGGAGCGGACGAACGCACCCTGCGGGTTTTGTGCTTGTGTTTCGATTGAAATGATGAATAATATTAGGAGAACAAAGGGATTAATGTTGGGAGGATTACTCGGTGATGTAACAAGGATATCTGCTGCATTAGATTGATTGACAGGGAAATAAAACAGCTCTTACATTTTGTAATTTTCCTAAAAACTCATGTAAAATCCAGCTGAGCGATGATGTCACCAAAGTCAAATGTGGTCTTCACCAGTGTTTTTGTGTTGTTTTGCATGTCCCTCTTAAATAATGCAGGTTGAGTTAATTGTAGGTTCTTAAAGATTATTGCGTTGGTTGCCTGTGTTGTTTTCTGTCTTGTGTCCTCCAGACAGAGAGCAATATAAAACCTTTGTTAAATTAAAGAAGAAAAAAGTTAATACAAGTTTTATTCTCTCAAATATAAAAACTAACCGACATGTTTTTGCTTAGTTTCACTTTGACTTAAACAAGTATTAGTTTTCCGGCTGTGAATCTTAAATTTTAGAAAGTACATTTAATATTTTCTACAGTTTTAGATGTGACAGGCAAATTCCAGTTCTAGTTTCTGATTAGAAGCTGAACTTTATTAAAGTTTCAGAACAGTGTCGTTTCTCTGACACTGAGGTCCAGTATTCCCTGAAGGAACGCATATCGCCCGCCACCTTCATGACATCATTTCAGACCCAGATCATATTATGATGAAAAACTATGCACTTTGTAAACGGTATTATCACTTGTCATTTGTGTTAGCATTCAGAGTATGTGTTGGGGATGACTCTCAGCTACTACCACCCCAGCTTTTTGCTCAGTAGTTGTAAAATGAGGAGTTACTCAAAACATTTTTGTGTGTTAACTAAGGTCAATTCACTGCCGGCCTTAATTAATTAGTCTTACAGTAGTCCCTCGCATATCGCGGAGGATCCGTACCCTGAAGACCCACGATAAGTGAAAAACCGCAAAGTAGGAATAGTAGTACAAGAAGTAAGTAGTAGTTAATTTAATTATTTATATATATTAGGGTGTTTTAAACCCTTCACACACTCTTGCAATGTTCTAAACAATGTTAAACTCTAAACGCTCTAAAAGAGCACAGCACGTCATGATTTCAGTTCCCTGCCTCGTCTGCTCTTTGCCACCTGCATGCGCTCTTGGCCACGCCCACTTCTCCACTCTGCACAGAGAACAGCTGATCAGCTGCAGCAGGAAGTTTAGCCTGCATTATGGGCTGCACAAATGTGCAGCAGGTGCTAAACAATTTAAAACAATTTATTTCAAATAAAAATTCCATGCCGATCGTGCGGCTCATCCATCAATGAGCCAGTTTTGTGTCATGTCCACTCTTATTTTGAAAAACCTCAGTAGAGCGAGTCTGCGATAAACGAACCGCGAAGTAGTGAGGAACTAAGTTCTGTGGGCCTGAGAAGTGGACATAAACACGTCTCTTCAGAGCGGCACTCTGTGATTTGCGTCACGGTGTTACTTGGTGTGTCACAGCGTTTCTCAGACGATGTTTCTCGCAGTAGCAGAGGGAGTTTTGTTAATTAGTCCCGGCTCCAGACGAAGCCCGGTCTTCTCCTGATCTCGGACCACCACCTCTCCTCCCTGATCTGCATCCCTCTACATCTGCTCTGTGTTAGCAGGAAAAAACACAGTTCTTTTGTAGTTGGGTCCAGTCAATAGGGAAGCAAATCAAGGGGGTGGTTTCCTGTTTCCTGCGTTCCCCAGACAGTTCACACTCGGGCCCAGTAGCCCCGTTTCAGTTTCTATCATTCATTTGGTCCTGCAGGAAGCTGAGGGGAGTCCTCGCCCAACAATGAGCCCCTTTTCTCGTTCTTGTCTCTGAATGTGCTGCCGGTATTCCCCCATAGTCATCTTTCAGCTGTGACCTCGTGCCAAAGGACGAGACTTTGATTAAAACAACGTAACACAAACGTTTCGCTGCAAACTGCAATCTTTGCTGTCCACACTGAAGAAAACCGACCAAAGCTGTTATGAAAAATGCCAACGTTGACAACAAACTCAGAGAATATTAAGCAATTTACCAAATAAAGGAATAAAACTCAGTTTAATTACTGACAAATTTCACTTATATATATATATATGTATTATATATATATATAGCCAATTAAAGCAACTACCTGATAACAGGAGAAAAGACCATTTGCGTGTTTGTGTTAACCACACCGGTTTGTAGCTGTTTGTGTCGATAAAGCTGGTTAAGATACCAACCCCCATGCTTTATGATTTAATCTACTGGAGGACATATTTGAAACAAAGATGGGCAGATTTGAACCAGATCTTATTAGCTGGCTTGTTTTACACATTCTGGCTCCATGTGAACTCTATAAACACATATGATTATTATATTATACAGTATGTTTGTCTTTAAAGATATAAATTCTAACAGCTGATGGAATTTGAGCCTTTTTGTTTGTGTGCTTCTCCCTTACACAAGACATAACATGTAAAAAAAAAAAAAAAAAAAGCTGCTTTGCTCTCAAACTGTTCTCTTCTGTCTCTGTATGCTTCGGTTTATAGATGGTAAACACAAGTTTTTAGTACATCCAACCAGAACGGGTTAACCAAAGCAGTCAAACCCAACGCTGAAAGGTTGTGGCTTTAAGTACAGCAGCTTAAACAAAAGCCAGCAGGAAGATAACAAGGGGTGAAACTGCACGCTCAGCGGGCAAAGGAAGTGCATTTTGTATTTGAGATGACCTGCCAGATACAGCTGTGGAAAACGGTACACAAACAGATTTGTTGTTGATGATGCATTTGCAAATGTTTCCATTTTGCTGCTGTAGTTTTATTAAAAAACGAAACTCGTTTAGGTCTGTTTTACGAGCTTAGATCCTCTCAGGGTACATACGGTCCGTGAGCATGAGTCAAGTTGGCAACGTTTGATTTTCCTCTCAAACCCTTAACCTTTAGTGTGTTGTTACCATCTAATGGCACAATAAGTGTCTTTTTGGATTTGAAGGAATACTAGATAAGAGATTGTGTAGAGGATTTGAAGTGTTTCAGGAAACAGGAGTGGGTGGCTGAATTCAGGCTGACGGGCCTGACTGAGGCCCCCGTCCTCTCTCTGACAGACGTCCAACAGAGGCTCCCATATTCCTTCCTGTCCAGAGTCAGTATAGACATCTGTATTTAATGGGAGGGGCTTGAAATGCCTCGAAAGGTGGGTAATCATGCAACTGCCTTTATCTGTGTTTGTCTGTTGGTCAAACATCTCATGAACCACGAACCATGAAGATGGCCGCCACAAAAATGGCTGTAATTCAATCAGTTTTATAGATAGTGAGTGAAAATCTGTTGCGGTAGTTGTGAAATGTCAAATTCTCAAAGCAAGAACTTTGACATCAACTGTTTGGGTGAAAGTGTTGACATTGGGGGGGGTAGCTGTGGCTGTGTGGTATGGGAAAGTTGGAAGTTCGATTCCACGAGCAGTCACATGCTGAAGTGTCTCTGGACAAGACACTGAACCCCTCATTGTCTCCGATGTGTGTCCCATCGGTCTATGGATGTGATAAAGCTCTGATTAGTCTTTGTAGATCTAGTAGAGTGCTGTATGAATGGGTTAATGAGGACACAGATTGTGTTGTAAAGAGCTTTGAGTATCTTGATAAGACAGAAAGGTGCTTTATAAGTACAGTCCATTTACCATTAATGAAGATGGAAGAAGCGTAGCTGCCTTTTCCCATTGTTCAAAATCGAAGTAAAAAAGTTTTTTTTGTAATTTTTTTTCCTGCTGCCGTGTTGTATTTTTGGAGCCATCATTAGGGACTTGGGGCTGTACCTTCAATAGAAAAGTCCTGCCAACACACCCTGCTGACTCACTAGCTGTCAATCACAGTGTAACATGGCACATTCCTTTAAGCCTCAATTAACTTTATTCAACTAAACATATTTAAAAAAAAAATGCACATTTAAATATGCAGCAGTAGAATAACAAATACATGAATCAACATTTAAATCAACACCTTAAAATATTGTTTGAATAGTTTTTTTTTTATTTTCTAAGTCTGGAAAATGGCAAATTGTACCGGAGCCAGCCTCTACGGGGCGTTCGTCCTTGGTGGCTTCAACTTCCAGCTTCCGGTCCTGTTTCTGGTTATAACACAGCTCGGTGATGTACACCCACAACTGAAGAACTTCTGGAGTCAACTCGACTAAAGATGGCCAACGCAGCTCAACATGTGGTTATACCTCGCAGATCTTGAGCTAAACTTGGTGTGGTATCAGCTGAGATTCAGCGCCAAGATGCTGAGCGCTAACGGTAATTGGTTCACGGGTAAATGTAGTCAAGGCAGCGGGCGATATGCATTCCTTCAAGGAATGTTAGTTTCATTCTTCAGGAAAAAAAAAATCTCATTCAGAGAAATAACAGCTCAGTTTGTTGCTGTTCCATTCAGACATACAAGTTCTCCGTTTTGTCCTAGAAGGCGAGCTCTCTGGGAGGTTTTCTTGTAAACACATACGTGTTGACCGTTGGGACGCAGCTTGGGCTGGTGGGTTAATGATCCGGGTCGGGTGCAGCGGTAACGTGTCCTCCATGGGAACACGGTACCAGGAACAGTGGGATGTCTCTCCGTGGGCCCAGCATGCAGGGTCAGCAGGGGTAAATAAAGGTCTAGAGAGCCGCTCCCTCAGCATGTCCTTGAGGTGCCCTGTGGGAGAAGTCATCCGGGACGACCTCTACCTGCTAACCATGACAAGGAACAGGAATATTCTCTGTGGTGCGTGAAAGAAGGGTGGACACTTTAATAAAACTTTAAGAAAGTAATCATTATATGTACATTTACAACTTGTTAATGTTTGGACCTAGTTAAAGTTTACCTTCGTGGCTAATTAACTTTAGGGAACAAAAATAGCTATAGCTCTGGCAATTTTTCTGATGTTGAGCTAAAATTTGGCGTGGTAGAAGCCAGGGGTGGAAGTAACGCATTGCAAATAGATTTTTTGGGGGGGTACTTATACTTTTATGAGTATTTCTTCCAAGTGTGTAATTTTACTCATATTTAAGTACAATTTAGACCATGTAATCTACTTTGCTACTTTTAAAATCAGATGTCGCTACTGAGTACGGCCGCAATTTGAATTAATATTCAAACCGTTCATCTGTATCTTTGTAACAATAAGGCTCTCAGATCGTGAACGTGCAATTATATGACGTAAGCGAAGGAGAACTCCCTAGAGTAGAGAGTCATTTACAATGAGTAGTTTTTGAGAGGAGTACTTTGTACTTTTACTTAAGTATTTTTATAACACCAGTACTTTTACTTGTAATTGAGTACAATTCAAGCTGTGTACAGTACTTGTACTTGAGCACAAATTATCAGTACTCTTTCCACCTCTGGTAGTAGCTGAGTATTCTCTCTAACACACACTTTGAGCACAACATATTGTGCAACGCCATCATTTGAAGTAATTAAGAATGCGCATACCGTTACTTTCCAGGTTTGACCAAAACAGCTACAACTCCATCATTTCTCAGTATATGATGATCTTAGGGTCTGTTTACACATCAACAGTATCTGGAAACATTAGCGTTTTTCCGATGTTGGTTGCGGAAAAGTAACACGTTTCTATGGTGATGCTGTGTTCGTCGGATCCGCTGGAGTTTCCACGTTAGGTTTTTAAGGCAGTGTTGTGATTTTGGTATTTCATTGACAAAATAGTTGCATCAAAATGATGAAAACACGTTTGTTTGGACGGAGGATGAGGTTGGTTTGCTCCAACACACTGAAAAAGAGCAGCACAAACAGCACTTCCATCCACCATTGTTCCTGGTTTTTATATGTTTGAACATGCGCAGAAAAACTACGACTGCAGCCGTCTGTAGTGCACACGTGCAATTTCACACCGATTCCGGGGCGTTTTAAAAAACCACTCTGAGACGTGGATTGAAAAAGCTCTGGTTTCAGAGAAAAACGGTCGCTGTAATCAAGCACACCAACGACCGAAACGCATTAACCTTGTATTGTCCTTTAGCTTTATGACCATTAATTTCCCCTAGGGGAAACATCGACCACCTTATTTAGCTGCTTAAATATACTAATGTTTGAAAGATTAAAAAAAAACATTTTCTCCCATTACATCCACAATTATTTTTTGACAGTCCAGTTAGGAGTTTAGTGAAGACCCTCCAGCTGACTGGACTAAAAATTAGGCCTTGTTTTCAGTCAAACTTACTCCTGTCTCTCGATGTTCAGACATGGAGGAATTTTTTTTCCAATCATTTTTTCATAATGAATATATATTTTTAACTCTACCCATGGACAACATTTTCTGATTTGTTTGTCACTTTTACTGATCCGGATATACTAGCAAACTGTGGGAGCATGGTGCACCCGCTAATGGTGTCTTGCTTTGGGGGAACCAATGGCAGTCAGCTGTAGTCAGCTGTAGAACATTCAATTCTGCAGCCTGCATGCATGTGAGTCAGCTTCAGACTAAATGTTTACTTGTGCACATTACAAGAGACTTTTTGCTATTTACAACCAAGCTAAAATACATTTGTCTGACAAGACAAGGGGTGGGACTCCACAGCGACGTGTGGTCGATAGGAGATACTGCTGCTAGGGTACGCTAGAGACTCTCAAATGTAAAAGCGGAGCAGCACCTAGTGAGCTAATATAAAAATCAGAAGTGTAGGGATAGACGTGAAAAGAAAATTTGTCACTGAGCGGATTGAATCATTTTATACGACAGAGTATTAGGGCCATGCTAAGAAAAAAAAAACATTACAAGAAAAAAGTCATAAAATTACGCGAATAAAGTCCTAATATTATGAGAATAAAGTTGTAGTATTATGAGAATAAAGTCATAATATTGCGAGAATAAAGTTGTAGTATTACAAGAACAAAGTCATAATATTACAAAAATAGAGTTGTAGTATTATGACAATAAAGTCATAATATTACAAGAATAACATTGTAGTATTATAAGAATAAAGTCGTAATATTATGATTTTATTCTCAATACTATGACTTTATTCTCATAATGTTACAACTTTATTGTCGTAATACTATGACTTTATTCTCGTAATATTATGACTTGATTGTCGCATGACTTTATTCTTGTAATGCTATGATTTTATTGTAGTAATACTATGACATTATTATCGCAATGACTTTATTGTCGTACAACTTTATTCTTGTAATATTATGATTTTACTGCCGCATGACTTTATTCTCGTAATGCTATGACTTTATTCTCGTAATGCTATGACTTTATTCTCGTAATACTATGACTTTATTCTCATATTACTATGACTGTATTCTCGTTCGTAATGTGTTTTTTTTTTCTTAGTGTGACCCTAATACTCCGTCGTAATTTTATGATGTGATAAAAACGGGATACAAATTTTTATTTGCAGTGTATTTCAGTGTGGCAGATTTTTTTCCTCGGGAACACGAGTTACTGTGAGGTCATGAGAGCATTTGAAAAAACACAGACAAAATTTTTAAAAAGTAAAAAGAGTTTTAGGTTTGTCCCAAAAAAAAATAAACATGTTTATTGACTTCACCCATAAAAAAAAAAAATGCATGGCTGATTTTTCCCTAAAAGCCAATACAAGGGTTAAAAATGATGTGTAAACAGGGCTTTAGTCTAAAACTGCAAAAGGGCAATATGCATTTCTTCAAGGAATACAAGACCATTAATTAAATGGAAGTTTTTGCAACAGTGTTTTCCTCTTTGGCAATGTCAGCAGAGCACAATTCAAGGATTTCCACCCAGCTCCTGTGATCTTACATCCTCACTGTTGTGTTTGCCAAGCTTGTCTGTGAATGGATGAATCAGCATGGAACAGGAGGACTGACACTTTTTTTAAAACATCTTTAACTTCTAACCTTTTTTTTTTCCAGGAGTTAGAAAGCAAACAGAGTATTCTGAGAATTATGCAAATGGGTAAAAAGCCTGTAGGCAGTGTTGAGGTTAAACTGTTTCCTGACTTCTGACCGGGATGTTTGGATCATGTAAAACTGTGAAACCAGCTTGTAACTGCACCCACACCGGTTTTTAAAGATCACCGTCCTGCATAAACAAAGCAGCTTTCAACCCCTCGATTAAACTTTTTTTTAAGGCCGACTTTACTGAAGGGTTACGTGTGTGTATTTTTTTTTTTACTTAGGTTTTCCAATAAGTCTAACAGACTTGTGTGAACATTAGCTTTTAGCCGCTTTAAGACAAAGAGTGAGTTTGATCAGTAACTGTACGGTGGTTTATTACAGAGGTGATGGTGTGTAGTCTCCCACCACAACCGCTCGTTTTTCCATGTTGTTCCTGAACATGTCGCTCCGATAAATACCACCTTTAACTTTGTTTTTTTAGTGAAGCTTACAATTTGGTGGATTTAGAACCTACAATAATGTCACACGTGAAGTCCGTCTTACCTGGAGTTTGTGTAATTACATCATGTCTTTTGGTTTAGGGTTTTTTGTTTAATTAAGAGCTTGGATTCTTATTTAGCTAAATAAAGTAGGTATTTTTAATTTTATGGCAGCAACACATCTCAGAAGTTGTTCTAGGCCCATGTTTCCCACCGCGAAGCATACAATCTAAATATCCAGGACTTGAGGAGACCCGTTTTTGAAGTTTTTAGAGGAAATGTTGTCTCATACTTTTCTGGAGTGATAGTTCCTTTACAGATGTGTAAGCTCCCCGTGCCAGCGGCACTAATGCACCCCCATACCATCAGCGAGGCAGGCTTTTGAACAGAGCACTGATAAGAGGCTGGGTTGTCTCTACTTTTTAGTACAGAGAATGTTTCCAAAAAAATTTCAATCTTAGATTTATCTGACCACAGAATATTGAGCATGAACTTTGATGACCACAGAATAGTTTTCCACTTTTCCTCAGTCCATTTTAAATTAGATTTAGTCCAGAGAAGATGGCAGTGGTTTTAGATGGTGTTCACGCTTTTTTTTTTTTCACAGACATTGATCTGTGGACGTGTTTCTGAGTCCGTGATGTCCACAACAGGAACCCTGAGGGACTGAAGATCACGACCATCCAATCCTGGCGTTCAGCCTTGCCCAATGAGCTCAGAGGTTTCTACAGATTCTTGAAATCTTTTGATGATATTAAGATCTGTAAATGATAGGATTTTCACAATCTTCAGAATTTTTCACTGAGGAACATTATTTTGAAATTCCATCCATCCATTATCTTTTACCCACTTCTTCCTTTTTCTGGTCGCAGGGGTCACTGGTGTCCAAATTCAACAGTCACTTTGCGAGAGGCAGGGGACACACTGGACAGGTCTCCAGTCCATCACAGGGACACATAGAGACAAACAACCATTCACTCTCTCACTCAGACAATTTAGAGTTACCAATCAGTCTAACGTGCACGTTTTTGGTCAGTGAGAGGAAACCGGAGAACCCGGAGAAAACCCACGCATGCACGGAGAGAACATGTAAACTCCACCCAGAAAGGTCCAGAACCGGGATTTGAACCAGCGACCTTCTTGCTAAGACGCAATAGCTCCACCCACTGCGCCACCGTGTCGCCTTATTCTGAAATTCTATTTTTAGACACAGTTTTTTTCACATCCATCTTTATTTCTGAAATTCAGCCTTTGTTTGACCCCGTCCCAATTTGTTTTAGATCGTTGCTGCAATAATAAAAAAAAAAGGTGCATTGTCTTAGTTTCAACATTCGATATGTTTACTGAGTCC